CATTTGATAGTTTATTCACTATGCATGGGTGGAATGAATTATTTGCAGTTTGTAGATTTGTGTGTGTTTTTAGTATTGCCACTCCTTAAATTCTATAATAAGAATTGGCAGACTGAAGGCAACTCTGTAGCCTCCACTAAAACTTAGGTTTCAAGGTATCACCAAAACAACTGGTATCAAAAAGGCTACTCTATGCAGATCTCCTCTGACAGCAGTCTCTCTGCTATAACATGATAAAAACAAGTCACCGGTTTGTTTCAGGCCAAATCCACAAGGCAAATACACAGAGAAGGACTGGAACTTACTTCATTTACAAGTTTAATTCTTATGCAAATAGTATGAACAAGGACATCAGTTGGCTCACACACTACCTTCCACACCCTATGACTTAAACTATCAACCAAACAATGGAGGTGCTAATTGTTGTTATCATCCTCTTGCAACTATTTGAACCATCTACTCACTCTCTCTCTCTATTTTTTCCCCTCCTTCCCCCCCCTTTTTTTCCTCTCCTCCCCTTATTTATTCTTGGATCTCGACTTCTAATACACCTGTCATCTGAAGAAGGGGGTTGCGCCCAGGGCCGGCTTTAGGCCGATTCGACCGATTCCCCGCGCCCTGAACCCAGAAGTGTGCCGGGTGCCATGGGCGATGAGTTACTATTTAGAGTCGGGGTCCTGCTCCAGCAATATTTGGAGCTGGGTTTCTCCCCCGGCTCTGCCTAGAGTGGGCCCTGCCCCCACCTGCCGGCCCCCCCGCGCGTCCTCCTTGTGCCCATGAAAGCTCATGATACCATCTACATGTTTTGTTAGTATTTAAGGTGCTACTAGACTATTAGTTGTTTTTTACATTTTTCACGATTAAAAAAAAAAAAAAACAGTCCTAGGAAAAATAGCTCTTTGCTGCTGCTATGTGTATCCATGTCAAAACTGAAAATGTTTGGTAGGCAAAGCAAACCCTAGCCCTCTTCAAGTAAGTTGTTTTATGCCACCCCTGAAGACAGCTTATGAAACTGAGTGCCACTCTTCCAAATGGTTTGTACAAAGACAACTATAATGATGATGCAGTGCTAAATATAGACCACTGCTAGGGAAAGTGAAAGAGGAGCAGGCACAAAAGAAGTTAAATTCTGAACACATTTTCAGAGAAACAACGGAGAGATTTCAATTACTATTCTTAAAATTCCAACAACACCTTTTAATGGAGAAGAAGTGTTAACTTTACTTAGATTTCTTGAAGAGAATGGACATTTCCCAAGAATACTGGTTGAAATTCTTCCCAACTCCAGCATTAATCTCTTCAGCATGGCAACTTTCACATGCATTCCTTTTTGAAGATTACATTACAGTAAGGTTACGACAAAAGCCAGGAAATTCAACATTTCAGTTTTATACCAGATAATCCAAGGCTTTCTGTACAAAAGCTGAACCCACTGATCCGAGGCCTTTTAAATATCTCATCAACATAGAAGAGGGCCCCTAATTTGTGTCTGCATTTGTTCTGACAAAAATAATTCCCAATGAGATTATTCCGAGAAGGAAGACCACTTGGCTTGCCAACCTTCACCATTACAACTATTTATAGCTTTATCTTAAGAGGCCCTTGGTTTGTACTGCAGCTTGTAACTTTAAGTTAACAACTGTACTGGGCTATCTTCACAGACTGTCAGTGGAGTTTATAAATTGCAAACACGAATTGCTGCAGAGAAATACAAGACTTTTATCTTCCCTCCTCAGCAGCCAAGTAAAGCCTTGACAGGACCACAAGATTGGTTACAGCAATATTTTAATTTCCTTGCCTTTTTTTTTAAATCTTTTGCCTAGTAACAATAATTTTATTGGAAAGAAGAAAAGATTTTTCCTCACAAAGAAAATTACACCAAACTAATTTTTAGAGAGGAAGGTTTTAAAATAAATACATACCCTTTGAAATATACAATGCACAACATAATTTACTGTGTTGTGGCACTTACTTTTCCCACAGCATATGTATTATTCGGAATAATCTTACTCCAGGTTGAACCTCCCTGGACCAGCACCCTCAGGACCTGAGCTGTCCCAAACCAGGGAGTTTGCCAGACCAGAGGAGGTCAATGCTCCCTTGTCTGCCCTGCTCCTGGGCTGCTCTCTTGGGGCTCCTTGCCCTCCTGCAGGCCCCACTAATGCTGACCCAGCATGGGCTCCCCACCCTGATGCCAGCACACTGCCCCAAGCTGCCTGGCCAGGACTGCTTGGCTGCTGTTGGCCCTGCTGCCTCTGGGGGTTTCCTGGTAGGGGCCACGTAGCCACTCTGCCCTGCTGCTAGGGCCAGCCCTGCTGCTGCTGGAGATTCCCTGAGTTTCCCCTGATGGGGATGCCCACCATTGCCATCCCCAATTTCAGAAGGGGGATTCCCCACTGGGGCTGCCCAGTCACCCTGGCCTCACTGCCACTGGGCTTTTCTGGAGTTCCCAGCCATGGCCATCCAGCCACTGCCAGCCTTGCTGCCTCCAGCCAGCAATCCCATTACAGCTGGGGGTTCCCTGACTAGGGCAGTGGGTTCTTGGTCCCTGCCTAGCCTCATTGATACTGGGAGCTGCCCCCTGACCCAGCTACTGCTGTCCCAGTTGGAGCTCTCTCCCCCCTTCCTCCATGTTCTCTCATCTGGCTTCTACTCCCACCTCGGGTCTCTTTGATCCAGCAGCATCCGTGGCCCTGCCGGACCATGGATGTTGCTGGACCTGAGAGTCCCGGATTTGGGAGGTTCAACCTGTACATATTTTAGAAATTTGTGTATCTATGTGAGAGTCCATTTGTTCAAGAACTCCTCCTAAACAGTAAGATCTAGGACCACCATACTTGATATGTATCTTCTTCTTATCATAATTTAAAGCAAGATAAGGTTTTGGTTGTGCCAGGAGAATGGCACATGCATGGAATTCAATTGTTTCACGTCAAAAGGGAAGGGTGTGATAGCAGGGACAATCATACTCGCAAATGACCACAGGAGGACAGCAAGCACCCCAACCCTGGGAGCAGCCACTGGCTGGCAGCACGGTCCTTGCCACTGCAACCTGCTTCAGGAAGCAGCTGTTGGCCACTGCGCATCCCCCACCCCTCTTTGCTGTACCCAGGTGACAGTCCCACACCACACTGGGGCTACCTCCAGGAAGCAGCCACCAAATGTGCCAGATGGCTCCCTGCCCTCAGGGAGAAGCTAGAGAGTGACCTGCTTGAGCCCCACCCCCACTCCCTTCTGAGACTCTGGTAGGTGGCCTATGAGGGTCCCATCCCCGGGGAGAAGCTGGTGGAGGGCCAATATGCTGACACTCTCCCCCACCCCAGGCAGAAACTGGTGGCTGCTTCTCCCCATCCCCTAAACCCTCCACTGCCTTACCCAAGCCCCCCCTACACCTCCCAACCCCTGCCCTCACCCCAAGCCTCTCCTCACCCCTGCGACCTTAACTCTTGCCCCCCTCACACTTCCAACCCCCTGCCCTGAATGACCTGAGCCATACCAGGTAAGTCTTTTAGTTTGATTTTTAAAAGTCCAGTTTTATGTATCTAATGAGTTTGTTTCCCTTCTAGTAGGAGCGGTTACAATCTACTAAATAAATAGACAGCACCATTTATATATTGGGTCATCTATTTTCAGTGACTCTTTTAGGGCGTATCTCCATTTTAACATAATTAAAACACATTTGAGCTAGGTATATTAGCGTTTTAGGGCTAGAAGCTGACAAATCTTGACTTGTACAAGAGCATTTGAGGCTCAAAATGAAACTTGAAATGCACAGGCAAAACAGAGGCTTCCCATCCCTACTAGGTACTCAGAAAGACACTCCTCTTATCCTGTTCTGTGAAAGCTCCCCATCTATCACTATCCCCCTTTGCTTTCTTATTTCTCTTCCTAGTCTACTTCTAAATTCTTCTTCTAACTCATTTCCTTTTGAAAAACATTCACCATTTTTTTTGCTTTTCCCCAGTATCCAATACCAGTTTCTCTCAACCTTTTTTAATAAGTAACCCTTTTAAAAAAAACAAAAAAACCTAAGTACCCCTAGTACCTACAGTTTTCAGAGACAATTTTTTTTCTACCATTGCAACTCATTTGTTTAAACAACTTAATCATAGCCAGGTGGGCAATTAAAGTTTTGGGTGTAAAAAGTACAAAAATAATAAAGCGCTGTAAAATTTAAAACAAAAATTCAGTTTTCTCCAAATTTCAGTTGTGTTGGCATACCCCCCGACTTCTCTCAAGTACCCCTAAGGGTACTCGTACCACTGGTTGAGAAACACGGTCCTATATTATCAGTTTGCTCATGCACCCACTTCCTTCTACTACTTACTTTCAATACTGTTCTGTTTTCCCCACACTCACAGGCTCCTGTCCAGCCCATTAGACACTAAGCAATAAACAACAGCTCAACTACCACCTGGCTTCAATCACAATGTAAATAATGGGAGTTTGCAGTTATGTTCAGTAGGGGTAGGCAAGACTACAGAAAAGAGCAATCATTTAGCTTCCGTACCCTGGAAATGGCAGCCAGTGTGCATAAGAGAAAATCCAAAAGTTTGAATACATGAATCAAGAAATCTTAAGAAGCAATAAAGCACAAAAACTGGCAACATTGCTAACATCTTTCTTATTTTCCATGTAGGCTTAAAATATATTATAACACTTCCCTTAGCAATTTTCCAATCCCCAGTATACAAGGAGAAGGGAAAAAAAGTTATTTTCCTTATCTCCCATTTCTGCCATACAAGGTACAAAAGCAGATCATCACCACCTTAGGTGAATTTCACTTCACCCCAGGACTGTACAAGGCATATAAATATTAAAAAATACTTCAGGGCAAATAGAACAACAGAAGTTACTTACTAAGTTACCACAAACTTCAGCAACACTTTCCTCATAAAAACTACCAGCTCTCCTTACTACCTAGGTGCTACTGTTTCCTCAAAACATATTGTTCCCCCTACATGCCTTTCTGCAGCTGGCTCCTTTAATCTGTTAGAACCAGCATACAGCTGCAATCCTACAGCAGCCATGTTGTAAGTGCTTGTTCTCTAGCCTGCTGGTGAGTGTTCTACACCTTTTGGGTTTGTTACTAGTTCTTTTCTCATTCTTGGAGGGAATTATATATGTTCACCTTTAATGTGTGCACTGAGTAGCTCACAAAGAGGGGTGGAAATGCTGAATTACTGTAACATACATATATTTCTAATGTGGGTTTTTTTGGGTTCGTTTGTTAAAGCAGTTTTTCAGCAGACTATTCAGTAACAAAGCTGCATGAGGGCTTGGTCTGGGAATGTCCAGGGTGCTAATATAACCCACTGGAACACCCTGTTTGGCAAAGGAGGTGCTACTGGAGTGGTGCCTTCATGTCCTAGGCAATGCAGGGCTATGCATTGAATTTAGTTATTTTCAGTTTCTGGAAATACAGGACTAGCTCCTGCACTGTGCTATAGCTCCTCTGTGTCAGACGTCTGTGTTGCCTTTCTTTAAAAAAAAAAAAAAAAAGGCTCTAAAGGGACCCAACATTTTGGGGATTATATAAAGGCTAAAGGCCTAAAGGAAAAGCTTCTAATGAGGGACAGCAAGGGGGGAGATTGTGGACATGGAGAAGAAGGACTGGTTTTGGACTCCAAGCAGAGGCAGCCCAGCCCAGCCCCTCTTTCATGCAGGCAAGAGGCTGGGGGTGGGGAGTTTGCAACAGCAGTTGAGAGGTGTTTTCTCAGTGTGGAGTTTAGCACTGTCTGCTTGCTGGGGGGAGCGTTCATGGGGAAATGAAGCAGCCAGAGCTGTCATCTGAGTGTGGGCGTGGAGAAGAACATGAAGAGAGGTTGGATCTGATGGCAAGGGGGAGGGCAGGAACCTTCTAGGAAAGGGGGGGGGGCTGAGACCCTTGAGGCTGTTTTAAATGGCTGGCCATTCCCTCTAGGCCCCAGATGACCAGGGTGGGGAGCAAGAAAGTTTGGTTGGGGCATGTGCAAAGTCTCTCTCCCCTCCCCCCCTCACGTGCCTGTGGCTCTGAGCAGCCTGAGGCTGTTGCAGGAGGGGGCCTGCCTCTGTGACTGTGTTGGGCTGCTGGTCAGGAGCCACCAAGGTAAGTGACTCCTGGCTAGAGCCTGTCTTCAGCCCTCCCTCTTCTCAGCTCACGACCCAAATCCTCTGCACATAAAACTTGTCCCGGATCACAGTTCCCTTCCAGACTCTTCCCCCTGCTATGCCTCTCCCTCAGGTCAAAATTCACTCCTGCACCCCAATCAGCTCACAACTTCCTCCTTCTCTCAAATTCCCCTCTCAGGCCCCACAGCTTCTCCTGCTCTCCCAGATCCCCTAGTCTGAGCTCCCTTCTGCACCCAACCTCTGTTCCAAGCCCCACATCCCATCCATAGAAAAATGCTGTCCTTGACCACTTTCCAAAATCTTGGGAGTGCCCGCCCCCCCAAAATTGCCTACCCCTGTTCTAGAAGAAGTGGAAAGGCCATCTGTGCTGATCTCTGCATGCCCCTTGAGGAGAACAGACGCTCTGAACTTTGGCTGTTATTTCTAGTGATGCCCACTTGTGAGTGCTGAGCCTTTTGTTGTGGGTGGTAGGATAGTTTTTAATAACTTCCTGCCCTCTGGCTTGCCCTTGTCCAGAATGGCTGCTGGCTTCCATTGCTGTCAATGGGACTGGCCTCCTGAGGCCTTAAGGAACATGCCAGCTGCATTCATGCAAAGGGTGGAGGTGACAGCAAGGCAGCCTCTGCAAAGATGTCTGCCATATCCTGTTGTTTTAATGGGGCTGAAGTTGGGCTGTTCTTGTGGAGATAGTGGTGCCTTAGTTGCCATAACAGGAGCAGGGGAAACATGGGGAGGTCTATAGAAAATGGGCCAAAATGAACAGGAAGGGAGAATGTGATAGGCAGGGAGCTGGGGCGAAATAGTTGGCAAGTGAATGTGAGGCAGATGCCTAGTCTAGTTGATGAGGGGGGTGGGGTGGGCTAGAGAGAGCATGAGTGGTAAATCCTCATGCAACGGGTGAGGACAGAAAGAGTCCCCTTCACTTGGCAAACATATTTAAGTTTTCAAACTGAGCTGGTTATACAGATTGGGGGTGGGCCTTCTCCCTAAAAGCTGAAACAAATCAAAACGCTGGAGAAAAACAATGAGGTCTCTCTCAAAAAAAATCCCCTTTATTTTTCCACTCCTGGTTTTTGAATGGTTGGGATTGTGCCATTCTCTGCTTTGTATGTTTAACCTTCACTAAAAATAGCTATTTTAAAATAATCTGTGTGTTTCTGGCCTCAGTCTCTATAGAATAAAATTTCAAACGGGAAAGAGATTTAAGTTTTATGTTGTGAACACTTAAAAAAAAAAAAAGGTAGCTGATGGCACACTATTAATCAAAGCAATTATAATTAACCATTGGAACTATAAGAAAACACAGAGCCAGCATGAATAAGAGTGCTAATATTTGAAATCTTTTAGAGAAACAGGTTGTTTATTTAAAGTTAATATGTTTTGAGCAAATACCTTTCATTTAACTTAAAAACAGCAAATGACAGAAACTTGAGTCTGTTTATGTGGAATTTGTGGTTGAATTTATACACTGCCTTTGTATCACATGAATGTTTTTGTTGCATTGGTTTTCCTGGCCTTGCTATTGCGAAGATGGAAAGCTGTTCATTAGGGTAACAGCATTAGTAGTGTTTTTACAGAGCTGTGGCTAGACTGTGGTGGAAAAGAGAACAGTTCATGGGGACCCGACATTCATGCCCACTTCAGTGGATCAAAGGCAAAGGTTTTGATGGAAGGTTTGTCAATGTACAGAAAGTCCTTGTTTTCCCCATAGCCAAGGTATTTTAAACATCTGATTGTTGAAAAATGTTTCTTATAAGATTGTGTTGCTTGTACTCTAGAGACATCACTTCTCTAGTAATACTACTACTCTGGAATCAGGAGGAAAAAGCTCCTGATTTTATTAGCATGTGTTCAGACTAAGATATCAATGACTAACTGCACAAGTAAACTTATAGCTGGATTGTGAGTAGAGTTCTGAAATAAATCAGAATATAACTCTCCAAGCAAGATATCGAATGACAGCGCACACAATCAATGTGACTAGGGAGAAAACATTTTTATATAATTAGGACAATTCCCTACCTGTGCCTATACTAAAGGCAGAAACAGTTACTAATTGGCTTGTGAGAGCTGTCTATTTATTAATGTGGATGAGGTCTGTAGATCAGTGAGTATCTCCACAAATTGGAAATCGAGATGAATTGCACAGGGAACACAGAAGCCCCGTGTTAGAACTGGTTAGAAGTTTGCAGTTTTTAAAATCTGAAGTCTTTCAGGGTATTTTGAGGGACTTTTTAACTCTCTAAACATGGGTTAGGCCCTTTTTTTGAGGAGCATATGAAACAAAGATATAAATAAAAGTTTTCAGTATTTAATGCAGGGGTGGGGAACCTCAGGCCTGGGGCTGGCACCTGGGGCTCACGACCCCCCCCCCCCATTGGGGAGCCTGTGCTGGTGCTACAGGCCTCCAGTTGCTCCATCATGGGGCTGGAGCACACAATCTACTAGGCTGGAACCCTCTGGTTTGCGAGGGGAATGTGAGGAGTGTCTTTCTGTTGGGCACCACATCAGTGAAGGTTTTTTGTGTGGCCCTGGATCCAAAAAAGATTCCTCACCCCTAATTTAATGAAAGAGTAGAAACTAGATGGAGGCCAAACTCTTGAGTTGTAGACTGGAAATTCAGCATATCATAAAAGGATATATTTTACTCTTGGAAGGATCGAAAGATGGAGAACAAAAAAATAATACAGCTATATTGCTCTTCTGCTTATTGTAATGTCCCAGGTAAATGGATAGTTCATATAGGGTGTAAAACTGAAAACTGGCTTTAAGTTGTAAAATGATCTGCAAGGAATTGCAAATTTAATGCCCAAAGTGGGAAAGCTAAGGATATTATTTCACTGTTGAGGAAACTTTTTAATGGTAGTATTTTACTCAGTTTTTTTTTTTTTGGAGGAACTTCCTCTCTTCCCCAAAACATACACACTCTGGTGTATTAGGGCTCATGATAAGTAATTGAGCTTCGTTAAGAAAAATGCACTATGAATGCAGGATCCAGGTTCAAATGGAATTGGAGATATTGCTCACTAGAATACCAAGCGTGAATCAGTGCTTGTTTTGTGGCTTTTGGACAAGTCCATTGTTCATACTGGATTCTCTTTTTGGAGAAATGTTTGAGTTAAAATGTAAGATTTACTTCAGTTCAATTCTGACACCCCCCCCCCTTTTTTTTGGTCTCCCAGTTCCAGACTTTTGTGCAATGTTGTCTAGGGCAACATGAGCTAAGGTGCCTCTTGTTCCATGTAGTTTTTCTTACTGTAGGGCTGAAGTCTATTGCACTTAACTTAAGGTCTCTTAGGGTGTGCATATACTGTGCCGGGTGGGGGAGAACTTTTGCTGACTCTGTTCCAGTTCTGGTATCTGTAATAAAGGATCAGGGTAGTTTCTACTTCTGTTCTCATTTTCTTGTATCTATAAATAAAGATATGGCCACTTGTTTTATTAACTGCTTATTAGGAGATGAATACTTGAGTTATTTGTGTTGCTTTACATACAGATTTCCTGTGATGACATATTAGATGAATTATACAAGAATTTATGTGAATAAATTTTTAATGTGGAAAAGATGTTTTCCACCCACTAGAATTTTTTTACAATTTTGTTTACAATTAACAATAAGAAAGCCTTTAAAATAATTTCAGGATACTTTTGTACCACAATTAATTGTTAATTGACCAAACTAATCAGCATAAAGCTGATTGAAACATATTTACATAACTTGTAACAAATCTTTTTAATAATCAAATGTTTCTATTCAAATTTTAAGAAAGCAATTTCTCAGCTGGTATTCCAATAATGAAACTTTTGGCTGACATCACCCACTAAATCTCTTCCTAATCCTTTTCATTACTGTACTGTCTGTAGAGGTTCTCAAACTGAGAGTCGGGACCCCAAAGTTGGTCTTGACCCCATTGAGTTGCCAGGACTGGTGTTAGACTTGCTCGGGCC